CACGTGCAATGTTATGTAATATAAATCTATTTTTAATTTATTACCGGATACAGAACGAACAGAGGAGGAGAACGCTATAGGACGGCTGGAAGAAATCGTCTCCCCGAGATCACCGAGTATGACTAAGCATTCCGAAAGCGGTAGCGGCTGAGGCCTTCCACCAGCAGTCGGCGGGATGTAGTACAAGCAGTTGCGCGCATACCTATAGAATTTGAAGCACATTCTATTTGTATATAATGCACCAATGGTCTGACATAGACAAAAGCAAATACAAGCATTGACAGTGTCACTGAGGGCTGAACATTGGGTTCAGAAGCCATGATAAATTCCTCTGAGGGACAATAGTTCACGGGGGGTGTTTACACTGGGGGAGTACCAGTAAGATAGCTTTCTATGCCTTTCTATATAGTTTTATCCTTCCTAGTTTTCAGGTGCTCCTTGCATTGCCCGCCGACTGCTGGTGGAATGCCTCAGCCGCTACTGCTTTTGGAATGCTTAGTCATACTCGGTGATCTCGGGGAGACGATTTCTTCCAGCCTTCCTACAGTGTTCTCCTCCTCTGTTCGTTCTGTATCCGGTAATAAATTAAAAATAGATTTGTATTACATAACATTGCACATGCGCCCTAGTAAAGGAGGAGCGAGAACGCTAAGGACGGTGGTTTAGGAGCCTGCACCGGGATTTGATCTGAGCTGTTGCCAATAATAGGTGGATCGCCATACCTGGCCCTGTAGGGCCCAGAAAAATACGGAAAAATCATACTATATTTGTGGGGCCAGGCCCAATGGTGCCGGACCTATACATAGCGTGGGAATGTGTCTAGAGCGCCACACAACAGCTACTAGCAGCTGATATAATATCAGGAAAATGCGCAAAAATCTGGGAAAAATCATGGAACCTGCTGTGGATGACAGCACATATGTGGCATCACTATATTACATCAGCACATGCCAAATATGGCAGCAATTGACATGGGATACCTCCAGGATCTACATTTCAGCCTCTTTCCATATCTGGGGTTTATTTGTCCTTAATGTTGATGTTGTTACTAATTTAGCAATGGAAATAGTGCATAGGAATCGGGTGTGCTTGTCCTAATCATGTGTAGGTACCATGGGCTGTGCATTGCTGTACAAGAATTATTTTCACCGCTGGCTTGGGACAGTTTTTCGCATTTTCACACACTATTGCTATGCGACATTGCTGGGAATTTGGGGATCTTACTCAGACCATATAAGGCTATATGTTTGCATAAGACCCCAAGAGATTCTGAGCAACAAGTGGCTAACTACCACTTTTGGGTATTACTCCTCCTATGGACACCCCATGACTACCACTTGTGTTACTATGGGTTATAACACACTTCCCTTGGGGTATATTTGCATGTACCACCATGTGCATAATTTTTGGGCCCACCCAGACCACCCTGGGTGACTTGGCACCAGTCCGTCGCGCAGCGACTGTCAATATTGACCGAGTACGCTATGGTATTCACGAAATCACCCACCAGCTTGAAACAGATAGCCAGATCTGGCAATCGTGGCGCAATCGTAACCTGAGGCCCGAAATCCGTCAATACCTGCATAAAGCTTTCCATGGCACACAGAAAATTGGGGATTACTGGGATCCAATTCCCAACTACGGCCACCGAGCTGTATGTCCCTATTGTGGTGACACGACCGAAACGATGGAACACATCTGGCTGGAATGTGACGCACCTGAACGCCAAATCATTTGGCATCTCGCGGCATCCCTGTGGCCCGAACAGAACGGCCCATGGCCAAACCTCGCCTTTGGCGCTATCCTGGGCTGTGTGTAGAATCTCCGTAGTCAGTACAGTTAGCTTGTATCACACACACACCAATAAACGGAACCTCGTCTTATTGCGAGAGATACAAGATAGGTAATTGAGCTAAGCAGATTCAGAGGTAGTTGTTGTCTAACGATCCGCCTGCCCAATCCGTCCATCTATCACTCAGTAACCAAACACGTCCAAACTCGGCGCCACTCGGTGGCGCCCACCTTACACCCTCCCCACTTAGAGCGAGACATTGTCTCTGATGACAATGGGGAGCGATATAATGGTATTATTGTTGTATGGAAATATATTATAATAGGGTCCGAGACTCAATGGTCATCTACATCGCGATTCGGGGTAGCGTCCATGACAAGGATCATCATACAATGCAATTTCGGTATGCGGCGGGAGGAGTGGTCATATTACATAGTGATGCCGCAGGGTATTAATGATTCGATAATGCGATATAAGATTGTTATAGTCCAAATAATAGCACAGACGCGAGACGGCGGCAACGACAGCGACGGCGACGAGAGAGGGGGGGGGCACGCAGCGTCCGTACTCCCCACTTAGTCGGCGAAAGGGTCCGGTGTCGGTGCACCCTTGACTCCACGCAACTCCGCGAGCTCAATGGCAGCCTCATAGTGTCTCCCTTGGGTCCATATGCCACAGCCGGCGAGGTATTTGATGATCTGCTCCTCGTCGGTGGGGTTGCCCTCGAAGTCGGGCGACGATCTAGTCGGGGCCTTCTCGACCTTGCCCTCATCGATGGCAGCCTTGTACCGTCCCGACGCAATGACGTGCAAGGTCGCATTAATGAACGCGTCCGTGTCCTCGAGCTTCCCTCCGGCGCGCTGCAAATAACGCCACCAACGTGCGCGCGATGCGATGGTGTCGGTCTGGCCCTTCTGGAACCCTTGGGGCGCCATCTCCGGCCGTTTTCTTGATGAGCTCGACGAAGGCGGCAGTGTAGGGGCCTTCGTAGAACGAGCTCGGCGTGATCGCGA